ACGTAGGTCACGAAATTCAATCCCCGTTTCAGGTGCACGAGCCTGGATGGTGGGGGGTGGAGGGGAGGGGAGGGGGGGATGGGGATGGGGAAGGGAAAGGGAAAGGGAAGAGAACAAACAGGCCTGGACGTTCGTGCGCCGCGCTGTTGTCGCGTCTTAGTACGTAGTAGTACCGGTAGTACTTACTGACCCATCTCGCTTTACGTACCGGGACTGTAGCAGGTGGCTGATTAAGGTTGGAGGAGAAAGAATCTTCAGGGTGTCTGCGACTGGTCTAGTGGTTGTGTTCGGGCCTTTAATTTTAAAAATCCGGCTGCGGAATCGGATCTCTTTGCGCGAGAGGGCGGCGGAGAGGTGAAGGGGAGAGGGGAGAGGGGAGAGGTCTCGTGCGGGCGATGGTGAAGGCGGCCGGCTGTGCTAGCAAGAGCGGGCTATCTTCTCAGGTGCGAGGGTAGATGGACGACGGTATTCCCATCTCTACCTACGTGTAATGTAGTATCGTAATCCGCCGAATCTGCGAATCGAAGAGTGGGCCAAGAAATCGAATCGTGTTCGTGAGGGGTTGAAGTTCGATCGGAAAGGAAGCAAGCAACTTGCTTGCTTGCTTGTCTTGCCAATCAATCGCCTTTTTTTTTCTTTTTTCTTTTTTTTCTTTTTTTTTAATTTAAATATAATGCTTCGTAGCGCGTAAGTAATCAGCAGCTACGGTAGCTGCCGTTGAGCTGACCGATGGACTGCCATCTCCGTAGAAACCACACGAGTCTAAAGGGGAGGAAAAGGATGATTAAGTGATTGATTGATACCTTCCTGGGAGCTCTCCCAGGTCTCGCCAAAGTCGCTTAACATCACCGATCTACCATCTCATATGTCGTTCTTTCTTCTTTTCATCGGCGTCGGCTGATGTGAAATCCCACTGGAGCGCAACGTCTAGTCAACGGCGGCGGCGCTGCGTAAGATTAACCGATCATCGACTCCTAACGGCTACTAACACAGAGCAACGGCAGGAGTAAATGGCCTTCTGCTTTGCGACCCTCTATAGCGACGGACGGCGCACAAGTAAGCGGAATACCCTCGTCCAGAATCTCGCCCGCCGTGAGTATGTATGTATTGCCTCCCAAGTTAGTAGACGAATTGTAATCATGACACGCAAGCTCACCCACTCGCTATTCGCAGCCCGCAAAGATCCATGAGTAGTCGGACGGAGCAGGAGGATTTCGATCGATCCCTCGGGGGCAACTCAGCAACTACAGTATCGCCCGCTGGAGATTTCCACGGAGTAGGAAGCGGATAAGTCTGAACGATATACACACAGAAAGGAAGCCTTCCATGCCAAGTCTGGAGACCAGCAACGTCCCCACGGCTGGCTGTTTTCGAAAGCGAAAAAAAAAAAAAAAAAAGCCGCTACATCTGGCAAGATTGATAGACAAGCCACGAGAGAAAGGAAAGGAAACCCGACAGGCATGCGATTCGGATAATGCTGATGGCACTTTCGGCGGTTCCAGGTACGACACGAGACTATTATCGACCC